AACACTTTGTCCCTGAAAAATAATTCAGAGGGGTATTTAAGCTCTGGAACACAAACTGGTGAAACAATATAAAAAGAAAATGGAAACTTTGGGGGAATTTCCAGTTTATTCTGGAGACATAGACTATTTATAGGGGAACTGACTTGTTACACCATGAATATTGGTTTAAAGTGAAACTGTTGCTAAAATAGATTGTTGTTATTATTATTATATTACTATTATTATAATTATTATTATACAGGATTTATATAGCGCCAACATTTTGCACAGCGCTTCACAATATAAGGAAGACACTAAAATCACAAGACAATTCAAGACAAGATGGTAAGGAGGGCCCTGCCCCTTAGGGCTTACAATCTTAAAGGGAGGGGCACATGATACATGAGAAAAATAGATGTTGAAAATAAAGTGTTTCCTGCAAAATAAAGTCATTTAAAGTAGAACTCAAGCCAAATCTTTTTTTCTAGCGTTGGATAACCTAAAGGGAGGGTTATAACCTCTTTCAGCTAAATAGTGTCCCATTGGGGAGAATTGCATTTAAATCTTGTCTGAATACAGAACCCACAACAGGAAGTGAGAGGAAATCCCTTCAAAAGTGAGGGATATTCCTGGTGGTTACCAGAACTAGTGTCCCCATTGGAAGACTTCTTATCTCTTTCTCCCTATCTCTTTCATTGGAAGACTTCCTATCTCTTTCTGTTCTGATGACAACCCAAAATGTGGGATTTTCTTTCAGTTTCCGCGATAATGGCCACTCTGACAGCAGTGGAGTCACAAGGGGGTGCGGCCCGCACCTGGGTGACACCATTGGAGGGGTGACACCAAATTGACTGACAGTAATTTTGGTGTCACCCCTTCTAAAAAGTCGGGCACTCGGTCAGGTAGAGAGAGCCCGACAGTGTCAGGAGAGAGGAGGGGACCCAGCGGCATACCTCCTCCCGCCGGGTGAACGTCCCCTCCTCTCTCGTCCACCACCAAGATGGCCGCCGGCAGGCATCAATTAGATAGCCGCGCATGCGCGATGACGTCACAGCGTGGTGTCACCCTGTCTTAGCTCCAGGTGACACCCCTGCCTGCCAGCGACAGCAATAACAACCTGACAGTTTTTCCAAAGACCCTCCACTCAATTAAAAACAAAATAATAAGTTTTGGCTTCAGTTGCTAGCACTGCTGATCTCCATTGCAGTGAAGGGAAAAGGCCAGTTGAAGAACCTTCAGAAACTGACACTTCCAGGAGTGTCAGATATTGGGTCCCCCACTACATTCTGTGGTTTCTCAGGCTGGTCCGCATGCTACCGCAGGACACAGTAGTGATATGGAGGATGGAGAATCGCACCACTGAGCAAAGTGGGGACCAGAAATTCAACACTCTGGGAACAACCCTCAGCTGGCCTTTTCTCCTCCCTACATCGTAGATTGGACAGTAGGAGAGGAAGCTAATTCATATCTTAAAGGGATACATTTATTACTTTACTTTAGGTTCAGTTGTGAAGTGCAGACACCTAAAGATCTAATACTCTTCCCTTAAGGCTGAATTTCGGGCTATTCTGACAGGAAAAGCGCCAACACTAAAGGTTACTGTCAGAGCTTGCCACTACCTGCCCCCCAACATTCCCATTGGCCTATTACTATGAGGGCAGCACATGTCTTAGTGGCTCAAAGTCTTGCCTTGCAGCACTAGGCTGATTGGTTTATAGTGATGGGTCGAACACCAGCCTGTTTGGTTCGAATTCGAACTTTAGAACAAGGGAAAAGTTTGAATTCAAACTCAATGCAACTCTATGGGGTTAGAACTTTAAAATCAAATGTCCCAATTTTGAAGCCTTATATGATTTTTTTTGGCCATAAAAAGGTATGGGGTTTCGGATACTGCCCTGGGGGACATGAATCAATGCAATTTTTTTTTGTTAAATACCGTTTTTAAAGGAGCAGTGTGTTTTTTCATCACTTAAACGGAAACAATAAAAATGAAAAATTCCTTTAAATATCGTGTCTGGGTGGGGGGTCCCCTTAAACTGCCTGTAAAGTGGCAAATCTGTACAATGTATAGAACCTGCTGCAGAAACAAATGACATTTCTAAAGAAAATAATTAAATTTAAAAAGAATGACTCGACGAAATAAAAAATAAAACAATAAAAAATAAATAGAAATAAGAAAATTTTAAAAAAAGACGACCGCCGCGAACACCTGCCGCAGAATGGCATTTTGATAGAGGCTGGACACATATAAACATTTGGGGGCGGAGCTAGCAGTGACAGCTAGCTCTGCCAAACTGTTTACAGTTGTAACAGGTGAGCCATGATTGGGCAAAGCCATCCTGACTTTGCCCAATCATGGCTCTTAAGCTGGCCACAGACTTTACAACCATCGCAAGACTTTTGTCTTACGATGGTTGTAAGGTAATTTAAAAAACGTACGATCTGCCCATCTTGGACAGGCAGATCGTACTTGCGATAATCGCAAGCCTGCCCCGCGCGGCATTTATCTTACGAACATGCCACACCCCCGCCGACAATCGTACGATTCTCGGCGGGTTTTCGAACATGTTCCTAAGATAAAAGTCGTGCGACCGTACAGTTGCACGCCTTCCTTGCGATAATCATACGATCGCTGGATTTCCCGTGATTATCATACGATTATCGCAAGGTGTGTGGGCACCTTAACAGAGTACTGGGCCTTGATTGGGCAAAGTCTTGCACCTGAGCTGTGGTCAGGTGCAAGGCTTTAGCCAATCAGGACTCACAAGGCACAGTGCCTTGTAGGGAGGTCGGTGGGCAAACAGCCCGCCGAACACCCTGATAGTTCACGTGTTTGCCAAACACAGGAACTGCCGTTGTTTGAGCCGAACTCACGTTCGACTCCAACATCGAGCCCATCTCTATTAGTTTAAACCTTAACCAGTGCACTACATGCATGGAGTTTGCACGTTCTCCCCGTGCTTGTGTTGGGTTTATCTGGTATTCTTCAAAGACTTGCTGGTAGGTTAATTGACCTAAACTGCTCCTAAGGTATATGCATGTCAGGTAGGGACCTTAGGCTCCTTGAGGGGAGGGACTGATGTAAATGTATAAAGCATTATGTGAATTGCCAGCACTATATAAATACCTATAATAATGACACTATCTGAAATAACGTTTATTGACCTGACTGCAATACAATAACTTGTATTTGAAAAGGAACACATTTTGGCAGTAGGTACTGTGAAAACGCTCAATCCCAATGGTCTTATTCATACTATTGTCTAGTGAGAGTACACATGCAATGCCTAATAATAACCTTTTCATCTGTTCTGCAGTGTTGCATTCAGAAGCATGGAGGTGACCACTTACATCTACATATGGAATAACTACAGAAAAATTGAGCTTCCATGGGACTCTACTTGGACGTGGTGGTTGACGTTCCTGGGCGTAGACTTTTGCTATTACTGGTTCCATCGGATGGCACACGGTAGGGAATTTTAGAGGACGTACCTTGCTCTTTTCATGTACTGTAACTGCATTAGAACAATAGTTTAAGGGCCAGTGCACTCGAAACTAGAATTTTAGTTTTTGGGAGATGTTGGGAAGTTAAACCTCCTAACCGTCTCTTCTATCTCTCTGGGACTCTGTTGGTGAGATCAATGTGTTAAGTTCCTGGGTGTGCACACGTGCTTTGTCCATTATGAGGGGCTACCACCATCCTCGCTGGATATTATTTATTTTAAATGATGGAGAATATAACAGGAGGGACACTCAAACATAGGCAGAAACATCCAAAACTCTGAGGTGGACAGGAGCAGAGTTGGGAAATATGGCCAGAAAATATTGCTGTTGAGTGTTCAAGACATATACCGATCAGCCATAACATTAGCACTATGGGTAGAAGGCAAGCTGGCAGAGGCAGTGTGATGCTTTGGGCAATGTGTCCTGCCATTCATGTGGATGTTACTTTGACACGTACCACCGGCTAAACATTGTTGCTGACCACGTTCATGGAAACAGTATTCCCTGATCGCTGTGGTCTCTTTCAGCAGGATAATGGGCCCTGCCACACTGCCAAAATGGTGGTTTAAGGAACACAACAATGAGTTTGAGGTGTTGACTTGGCCCCCAAATTCTCCAGATCTCAATCCAATGGAACATCTGTGGGATGTGCTGGAAAAACAAGTCCAATCCTTGGAGGCCGATCACCTCACAACATACAGGACTTATAGCATCTGCTACTGGCGGCTTGGTGTCAGATACCACAGAACACCTTCAGAGGTCTAGTGGAGTCCATGCTTGGACGGGTCAAGAAAAGGGGGATCTACTCAATATTAGGCGGGTGTTCAGCATATTATGGCTGATTGGTGTATAAGTAGCCTGGGGCTAACTCAGCCCACCAGGCCCCCGCCTACAACTAACCATTTAGGTGTTCTGACCCTAACCCTACATTTTTGGGCTATTCAGTAAGGCAAAATTTGCAAAGAGCAGCAAAGCATAGCAAACAAATTAATAATCCGCTGACCCAATGCCCTGGCATATGAGCAAAATGGAGGGTAGGGGTAAAAAACTGCTGTAGGTACCAGTTAGCACATCTAGAAGCCTACACTTTTTTTTATCTGTCAGCAGTTACTTTTGTTAAACTTCTTTTCCAGATGACATGCCATACATTTTTCAAAGCAACATGCTTCTACATGCCAGAAAGTCCTGCAGATTAATAAGAAAATGATTATTCTGTATGTGCATTTACTTGATAGTAAATATAATATTTAAATAGGACCAACACTGGGCACATACCCCAGACCCCCCCCCCCTCCAAAAAAAAGCCCCAGTGACAATAAAAAATAAATAAGTATATATATATACATATATATATATATATATATATAGTTTTTTTCTATTAGCTGTTAACACAAAGTGAAAGTTAATAAATGAATATGAAGAAATAAGCATAATAGTATATACATTTGCTGATAATTTGTATTGTGGTTGGATCTCTCCTTTATTCTTTTTTTATATTCTGGATGGAATTCTCCTTTAGCCTATACTGTAGATACATTGGTCTAGAGGGGAATGAGTTAGCTGTTTTATAAACAAGCGCAGTAACCTTTGCCTCCGGCCATGTAGGGGTCTCGTGTCCTGCTGAGTCCTCCCTGGATGTAACCTCCAAACTAAACATGACTTCCTAATTGCCACATTGTTGTCTCTGTGTGGATCGTGTTCCCTCACATCCTACAACATGCAGCGTGTGGAAAGAGCGCTGCTCACATTTCTCCTTGCAAACCTTGTCAATGCAATCCTTTTTTTCCCCATCCCGGTTAATGGAAGTACCACATGTCCGTGTCATTGAATGGCTTTACCTTAGGTTGACACATGACTGGGGCAGTCATAATTGACCTGTGATAGAAGCCATTGGGGCTCCTTTCAAAGCATTGCTGTGATTTTTCATAAATATTATTTCCACAGTTTTCAATGCATAGATATGTCTATTGGACCCAAACCGTGCAGCAACTTCCCGAAAATAGCTCCTGCACCTTTTTTGTGCGATAGGCGATTTCCTCCGCGTGACAAACCGCAAAGGTGTGAACAGCCTCCATTGACTTCAATGCGAATATGTGTTTTGCGCAATATCAATCACTCAATCTGCGTGATAAATCACCTAGGTGTGAACACATAGCCTAAGGGCCGGTGGACCACTAGGCGATCTGTGACCACACTAGGGTTGCCACCTTTTCTTTCAGCAAAACCTGAACACTCTAGCGACGCATGGAAAGTTTTGGGGGAGAATGAGCCGCGGCTTAATCATATGTAAATAGCTCCACCCATTCATATGTAAATATCACAGTCAAGACTATTTTTAGTGGGGGGCCAGTAGCCCCTATCATAATTTTGGTTGCCCCTGTCTGCCTGACATCTTGTGTCCGGGTCTCATCTGCCATGAAAAACCTGGACCACCCGTTGTGAATCCGGGACAGGTGGCAAACATAGACCGCGTGGCAATCGAGCATGATACCGCGTGGATTGCTGCACGGTCACGGAGTCTCCCATCACATACCATCGCGCTGTGGGTGCTATTATTTTCTAATGGCACCGCAGTCACGCCCGTGCGTCCGAACACTAAAAGTGCCACAGGTCGTGTATCGCAAAAAAAGGTACATGTACCTTTTTTTTAGCCATTGTCACACGGATATAACCCCCTTGAAATCAATGGGGCCACGCGGCAATCGCTGTCTGCAAGTGTGCAGGACCGCGCGATCCCCCATCCCTCAGGTCTGCAACGGACCTAAAGCTAAACCTGCTGAACTGAGTTGTTTTACTTGCTGAATGATTTGTATGTTGATCCATCCACTTCTGAGATTTACGCAGCTCTGCCTCACAGCACAGCCAGGAGTATGACACAATTTTTCTCTGTTATAATTATAGCCTAGGGTCAAAAATATCAATGTTATATACACCCGATCCTCCAAGCCCGTTTGCTCTTAGACAAATCCCTGGAGCTTCTCTCCTCCTCCGCTACAGCAGCCATAAGTTCCCTGAGTCATCACATGCATAGAATGTATCATTGCTGTAGCAGAGTAGGAGACAGGAGAGAGTACTGTCACTGGCTTGGCATAAAAATAGGAGACCATGTCGTGGCCCAACGAAGTACTGATGGGGTGGTCATAATAATCTGGCCACTCAGTGTATACCAAACATGTTAAAATGTCAATGGGCTAAGCTAAGAGTGCACTCTTTGTGGTATTTGGACCAATGAAGCATCAGGGAAAGTGTGTCAGATTTGTATTTCTTTGTGTCCCTGCACCGGGGACATTTCTACTAATTTCCACACAGCAGTCAACGGGATGGGAAATGATGACAGATCTCTCTAATTGGGACAATTAATAATAGCAATAAAGACGTGACGCACATTGTAGACATTTGTCCAGAAAAAGAGAAACAGTTTTTTCGGAGTTCCGTTTAGTTTTAAAGACAATTATAAAGTTCAGAAAAAAAAAATTACAATCATTGCAAATTATTTGCATGTGCTGAACTTCCCTGTGGGAAATTCAGCCCCGGCCTGCAGCTGCGAACCAATAGAGCAACCAAGAGGCTGCAAACCTTCCTTTGTTTCCTTGACGCAAGTATTACAAGTGGCTGTCCCTTTAAAAAAAATAAAAATCCAGTTCATTTTTGGAGGGCTCCGTATGCCCGCGTTGCGCTCCTCTTCTACCACCTTCACACGCCACACTTATTCTTGGCACGTGGCTGCGGGTTTTCATATTAAAAGCCGAGGCCGGGGTCCAACGAGCTACCAGCACACGTAATGGCTGCGGCTCGCTGTTACTGCGAAGGTTGCTCAAATTTCAGGGCCCCGGGCTTTGGTGCTAAACCTTTTGTTTTATTTCTGCTGAACAAATAAGTGTTGTCATTCTACGAGGAGCAGCGATGATCGATGTAGGAGAATTGCAAAACTTTGATTCTCTCAAATATTTGATTCTCCCGCAATTAAAAAAAAATCGAGATTTATGAATTGTGTGATTTTTTGCAGAGTAGATGAATCTGCTATAACCGTGCCTTGTGGGGCCCCATTGCGAAAATATGAAAGTGGTCCTAATATCAGATGTATCTTTATACGATAAGTGCTTCAATGCTCAATAATGTGTCATTCCAGGTATTTATTACCTTTTACAGAGATCACAGTACTCCCCCCTGAAAATGCCTTCATCTGCTTTTCCTCTTCACAAGGATGGACCTGTAGTACCCCTTTCTCATTTATGTGAGGGGCAGATATCTGTGGCCTCCTTGTTTTAAAGGAGAGTTTCCAAATTCGAATACGTCCCGCCAACAACATCACCCCCCCTCCGCAAAAAACCCCATATCTTCTTGGGGATCCCCCAGAAGGCTCTATTATAAATTCGGAGGGCTTTGGACTTTGCCTTGGGGTCCTCCTCAGAATCCATTATCCAGGTCAAGGGTCTGGTATGGATTTTGGAGTGGAATTCCACAATGTTTTTTCCTTTAAATCATATTGCCTGGTATGGTTCAGAAGTAGGGAGGAGGCACAGGCTCACTCCCCCTCTCCTTTCTTGGCCACTCAGGCTGCATAAGGGTCTGATGAGTTTGGGGGGGGGGGACCTCCTGAAAAAAAAAAGCAAGTTGGGTCCCTTCAAAAACCCATACCAACATTCAGCCTGGCTGGGGAGGGAACTATGTCAGGGACCAAATGGGAAGGGGGGAATTTCCGTGTTGGGTCTGAGGCAGAAGGGAAGGCTTAGTGCGGTTTGGTTCCTGGCCACTCAACCAAAAATAAAGAAACATATTATAAGGGAAGTCCCACTTTAAAGAGATAACAGCACAGTAAAATCACACAAAAAATATAGTATTTTAAATGCTTACCCCTTTTTCCCTTCCTTTCTTGGCCACTCAGGCTACATGCCTGAATAATGGTCTGGTATGGACTTTAAGGGGGACCTATTGCATAAAAAAAAAGAAAAAAAGCGGGGTCCT